AATAATGACAGAGGTTCACCTAAACCTCGGATGAACGTGTCAAGGGCCATCATGTTATAAAGCTTGATTAGGGCTGCCTCATGCCCTTTCCAAGTTTCGTCTGTAGAGATTGCTGAGCTGATCAATGTTATCATCTCGCGCACTCTACTGTAGTACGTTTCAATGGTTTCTTGCGGTCTTCTTGACATGACCTTTAACTGGTTGTCAAGCGTCATCAGATCGCGTTTGTCAGCGTAGTATAGTCTTAAAACATCTTTTATCTCACTCCAATCGTTTGGAGTGTTATTTGAAATGAGGATATCGTTTGCTTCGTTTTTTATTTTTCGTCTTACGGTCTTCATCACGAGATGGTACTCGTAACTATCCCGAAAGTCATTGAATAATTCAAGGCAATCTTCAACGTCGAGGATCCATGTAGAAAGATCTCGTGCGTTGCCATTAAAATCGGGCAAATCCTTAATGATACTAGGAATTTTACCTCTGTCGAGGAACCCTACGTTTACGTCAATCGCATATCGTGGAGCTGGACGCGGTACGTTTGGAATGGGAACGGGATTTGGAACAACTAATCGTGCGGGTTGTAGGATTGGATTTAGGTTAGCTGGATTTGCCATTTTTTTTGGAAAAATTATGATAACACTGCTAATTTCACTTCACTTCACTCACTTTTTTATTGATTTTTTTGTTTTGAGTTAGTAGCGCGCCTATCTGTGATATTCTAGCGGGTCACTTACGGGTGGTCCGGGTTCGCCGCTGTGTTATTAGTATTCGATTTCGCGTTTTTATGGTTTTGAATTTAGATGGTTAAAGTTTGGAAAATTGTTATGTTAGTTTGCGGTATTTTTGTGATATTTCAGGGGCTTGGATACTGTGGGTCAGTCCGCCTCCCTCTGAATTAGTATGCGATTATTTTTTTTTACGCACTAGCAGCTTACGGTGCGGTTTTGGCTTAAAACTATTTCTTTCTGTGTTAAATTGATACTCACAGTAGCAGCAGGAGCAGGGTTTTCATTTTCTGTCGGTGGCAGCGATAAACTCCAATAACCACTGGTACGGGTAGCGGGTGTTCTTTTCCAGTGTACCTATTCGCCGATTCCAAAGACGCAAGTCGCTGATTTGACAGCAAGTGGAGTTAGATCCGGTCGTTTGGCTCCTCAAAGGTGGCTCAGGGCAGCTTCGTGATTAGACACTTATACAATTACTGGATAAAACGGTCCCGACTTCGGGCGCCAGTTAAGACCTGGAGGGTCTTTTCGAATTTTTAAAAAAGGACGCGAACTCGTTGACGGTCGAAACAGAAGTGAAGTATGATTTTATTTCAATTATGAGTTAAGTACAAAATGCAAACTAAGCAGCGGCTACTCGTTGACAACAGCTTGAATTCCTCACGGGTTGAATGCCTCGATGTGGTGCAGCGTCAGCGTATCGCAGGTGCTCGGTCGTCCGGTGTGCTATATTGATGATTTGGTGGATCGGGTGTTAACTTTAATGATAATTTTGTCCTTTTTAGCAAGTAATATTACACCATATTTTCGACATGATTGTAGCAACAATCAATACGAAACTAACGATTTTAAATTGGCTCACCACTTTAGTAGCCTATTGGTCCCAAGCAAACGATTAACGTACCCTATTCTTGTCGAAATTCTAGTACTACGCAATGTTTGTTTTGATTCGCTATGAAAGTTTGGCAGATAACATCAGGGGTGTGTGGATTCATGCAGAACATGCAGGGGTGAGTGAAATAGCTTGGGACTGCTTGGGACCGTTGTTCTGGTACTGAGTGAGCCAAAAATAATAATGATTTTCTTCGGGACCCAGTGGTCTTAGAGTTACCTCTATGATTGTAGTGCATCCACTTTGACGTGATATCAAAATTATTTTTTTGCTGTGTAGGGGCACGAACGGAAGCTTGACGTAGGACCGCTAGTGGACGGAACAAATATGTTGATCATTTAGTTCTTAACTCTTTCCGTTTTTGAATTGGTGGCCCTGATAAGGGCCGGTTGTTTTTCAAGTGGTGGCCACGTCAGTACAAGTCGATGTCGACCGGATTACGGCGGCTCAGACAGTGGCCTAGTTATGCTGCTTATTGCGGCAAGCCTTTCCTCCGGTCGATGTGGGTGTTTTCGTCGTCGCCCGTCGTCTTTGTATTGGTGCGATGCGTACTGTTCCACTCATAAGTCGTGTTCGACGCTTATCCGTCCGTCGCTCGAAAGCAAATGACGATTTGGCAAGCGTTTTTATTATCGCTGCTTTTCTCCTCCCTTCCTTTCATTGGTGAAAAGATGAGCGGTGAACCGAGCATTGAGCTCAATCATGTGCGATTTGCGCTCTATCGTTGCGTCCGTGTTTGGGATTTTTCGTTACATGTCTGAATTTTGATTGTTTTTAATGTGACCCCCAGTATAGAAATAAACGACGTAGTCCTACGTCAAAACATGAAGAAAGAGCTGCCCACGACATGTTTTGGTGTAAAAATGCAATCATTCTCTGCTACAGATTCCTAGGGGGCATCCTGGTGGCCGATGTGGTCCAATTCAAATCTATCAGAAAAGCTATTCAGAACCCTGCATCAGAACCGATTCCAGGGAAATGGCCATATATCGGTTGATTATGGGCCGAGTTTAGTTCTTGGCATATCATTCGTTTTGGAAATGGCTCTTCTTGCTGTGTTTTTACTAAAAATATAAATTTTTAACCAGCATCCTATAAAAATCTTATCACAAATTTAGCAAGTTTTGAAAAGCCCTCCGAAAACCCTGAATATCTCCGGCATCCATGGTTATTTCCATGGCTTCACTAGTCGAATGCTTTTTGAAGAATTAAAATTGGACCAAATATGACGAAGTTAAAACACTCCAAAATTTGACCAAAAGTTTGCCTCTCCTTGTTATTTTGAGTATCCCTGTATGGGCAAATTATAATTTTCTTTACACAATATTTTATTTGATATAATATTTGATTTAATATGTAATAACAAATTAAGTATGACAAGTGATTTAATCCAATTTTATATGTTATGTCGTACAATTCATTCATCGTATGTCAGTCGTAAATTTTCATCATAATTTCATGCTGAAATTGAAACATAATGCAATGAATTTCAATATTAAATGCGATGTCGACTTCATATGTAGTACTTAACGATTCTTCATATGCATTATTATACGACTTCTGGCTGCCTGGGGGGTTATATGCATTTTGATTACAATTTGTTTTGATTGAAGAAGCGCATGTAGATCGATATTTCGGAACCCATTTAGTTTTGACGAAAAAAAATCAAACAAATTGGATTTTTGAGCTACTAATGGAAAAAGAGCAACTTTGAATCATGACAGGCCTGTTTGTCCCTCGCCTTGATGTTCCCTTTCTTGTTGCTTTCCTTTCATGTTGCGCCAAATCTATGCAATTTAGTAAAGCGTAAATAGAAACTGTGCTATTGACAGTTTTCTTTTTTCTTTTTAGATTGATTGTGAAAATTCACTTCTTTTGTTAAAATCTCTGGGATCAATTTTTCGCCGGTGAAATAATATATCCGTTAAACATGGAACTACCAGTGGTACAATGTAACCAAACAATATAATTTATTGAATAAACATAAACGATAAAATAGCCATTCAATTTATTGTATCCAAAATAGAATCTATGGTAAATTGGGAAATCTTCAACAGAACAAGGGAGTTGATAAAACAAAGCTTCTATTTCCGATCAAATTTGAGCCACTTAACATTCATTGTATTATTTTTCTATTGCCTAAAATTCTTACTATATCGGAAATATTGTAGATCTATTGTAATAACAATACGTTAATATAGGTATAATAAGATCGATGTCAGCCCTCGGTTTTGTTGTAGTTGTATTTCTAGACCAACAATTGAAAAAGGCGGAACAACCAAACGTAAACAATGGCTTTAAACGCAAATTACTCAATAATCAAAGCACGTCCAAGCAAACTTCCTTTATCGAATGGCATTGTTAGTTTACGTGGGAGTGTTTTGATTCTCAAGAATTTTGTGTTTAAAACCATTGTTTACGTTTGGTTGGTCCGCCTATTTAAATTGTTGGTCTAGATTTTATTTCATGCTAAGGGACCATGCACTTTTTACGTACTATTTTAAATGGACATTTTCTTACTTTTTCTTACAAGGGAGTGAGAGAATATCAGAAATACCTAATACGTAATTATGAAGAATAAAATGAAGATCACAGAACTTGTGAATGTCCGATGTAAGATTTTACTAAAGGGTAGCTGGAGTAGAAAATTAAGTGCATGGTCCCTCATTGTATGGTTATTCTACCAGGTAGGCTTCTAAGGATAGTCGTCCCTCTATTCAAATATGGTTTTTGCTTTATTACCGAGATTTCTAGCACAATGGCTAGTTCATCTCGAGAACCAAATAAGTAATTACTTTTTTCCCCAGAATAATATTCAGATGATAGCTTAAGATTGTTATTCAAATTAAAAATGTTTGAAAAACGTTGATTATCTGGATTTTTGCAATAGCGACCCAAAACTTTTCCGTCTCTTAATTTAAAAATTTATTTCAAATAGCTCCCATTTATGAACACAATTAATCAAGCGATCAATGATTGGAGCACACACACACACACACAGTGTAACGCAGTCAGAACACTAACTCATTAACAACCTCGCATCGCTTGAAACCTGACCGATATCACTCGGTAACATGATAAAACATTCTAAAGATTGTTTTATATGTGTTCCCTCCTCCCTGAAGAAGAATGAAAACTTCCGTTTGGCTGTTCCTGACACCTGTGCAACAATCCCACGCTGCATCTCTCGCGCACCATTTCTCAATCGTTCTCTCCGAGTGAGTGCGCGTACATGGAAACTGCCGAGTGTGAGAGTGAGTGCTCACGCGAATCTGAACGAATGAACATTCGGCGCGCGGATGAATGAGGGAACCCGAGGGAACAACAAAACAAAACGCCGTCTGATTGCAACCGATCTTGGCATTCCAATCGTGTTCGTTGTCCGTGCCGGTTCAGCTTCTCTGGGGTTTTCCGATAACACTGTGTGGAAATTGTGTTGCTGGTTCCCGGTGGTTCTCCTGATAGTTGCAGCTTGGCTCAAGAGTTAGGAAGTGCTTTGAAGTTCGATAGTAGCAAGTAGTGCTAGCACATGTGTGTAATGTAATACCCACTTTGGTACCCACCATCAGCAGATCGCATCGTCAAGTGTGGGCCGTTTTTCGGCCGAGTTCTGGCACGTAGAGTATCTTGCAAACACCACCGCAACTGTTGGTGCAGCACATGGTGGTGCTGAAAGAAGATTGTTTTGAATGGTGTGTGATAAGAAGGTTCGGTGGTAAATTGGAAGCAATCCAAGTCAAGGTGAAATTTGAAGAATTTGAAAGTGAAATGATGTAGAAGTGGTGCGGTGTAGATTGGCGAATGTTGACCATTAAAAAGTTGTAAAACTGTCCGGAAAGTTGACAGTTTGATCGGTTGAGGACCGGTGCGGATTAGCTCAGTGTTTGTGTGCAGACGCGTGTAAAGTTTCCAAAGATCATAAAAGCGCTGGCGATTGAAGGTGTTTAAATCCGTATCTTCATCGTTGACTGGATATAAATAAACCCGTAAGGTAGGAATTACTTGCATTAAGGGAGCGTGTGTGCATTTGTTATGGTCCATTTTCAGAGCAAATTTCTCCAAATCACCCAGTGGATTAAATGAGAAAATACACATTAATGGCAGAGATCCCGGGGAGCAATAGGCGTAATAAATCAAACCTCTGAAATTGCTTCTGGCAGTAGTCGAGCGTGGCCCGTTGCCGCCAAGCTCAGGGCTCTAGCACTACCAGCTATCGTCCATGCATAAACATATGCATACAACTAGCTGTGATTGCCCTCCTGGCGTGAGTTTGGTGTGCAATGCCAAACTAGACGACGAAGTCGCTTGAGACAGGGAAAACACTATCTCTAGAAGCACGATAATAATTTGCCATGAACACATCAATTCCCATGCTCTCCGATGATTGCTCCGAAACACGCAACCCAAAATAAACATTGTGAGGAGCAAAGTTGTAGGATGTTTATTCTGGCTGTTACTCCAGTACGCTCCCATAATACCTTATAACTATCACAGCCGTCGTAGAGAAGGGGACCAGGCAGCAGGCGAAACGATTCGAACAGAACCAACTCGGAACGGTCTGTTTGCGATGCACATGTTCTGGTTCACGAGGTCGTGATTTTCTAATCTTTTATTCAGGAACTTCATCCTCAATCGGCTTCCGGTTGGATAATTGGAAGGGATATCCACCTATTGCACCAGGTTCCCATCAGCTGTACTTTGTAACAACGTTAAAATAATCCCCCTTTGACCTTCCTTGGCTCGTGCTAAAATACCTGTAATTTCCACCCATATCTCCTCGCTCACACAAATGCGAAAGCATGAGCAAAAGATCGAGTTGAAAAACCATTTATTTACACCTGTCACGAATCAGTCTAAATTTATGAGATCATATGTTGACAGGGAAGCGACGGCAGCAGCTTGCGTTGGAGAGTCCTATGCTGCGTTGTCGTCATGTGTGTTTTCTTCCCGGTTTTTGTTCGAAGATTCAGATGTGTTATGGACCATTCAAACGAACCGACCGGTGTGCGATGCGACGATGACGATGACGATGACGGTGATGATGATGATGATGCCGACCCTTTTGAGGTATGCAAGCATGCAGCAGAAGAGGGAGGATGGAAAAGCAGAATGTAACCATCAGCGGCAAATGTCTGCTTCAGCTGTTTTCCTGCACAAGTGTTGGTGTGTATCCGACACAGGTCCATCAGAGAAGCTGTGTTGTATAAAAAAATACACAAAACAGAAAACAGCGACGGACGATGATGGTGGGAAGAATGGGATAGTGGGATAAAGACCGATGAATTAGGAGTTTTTAATCGTTCTGTGTGTTTGGCAAATAGAGACGATAGGCAGGAGCGTCGAAGGTGATTCGTTTGGGGGTGATGAACTGAGATGTTATGGCATTTCGATGAATCTTGGGATGGTATTTCGTGAGTTTGTTCGAGGAAGACTTGATTTTACCATCCTTTTTGTATCTTGGGTAATTGGATTATTAAGATTTCGTTGGATTTCCTGCGGCGTGTCAAACGTTTTGGAGGTCTATTTATTGATAACAGAAAACATCTTCAAGATTCGAAAAATACTCCCTCTGGATTGACTCGATTGAGCGAGTTTGTGTTTGCTTTTCTACCAAGCCATATCTGCACTTCATAATTTTCCACGAGTGAAACAAATTTTAAAGACCCGATGGTTTTTTTAGACTATTTTACGAGAAAACTCGATAATATAATCCCCTTTGTGATACAACTAGCTATATTTGTATAGATTTCATAGAAAGATACCTAGTTGTAACATTTATGGGACGAGTGTAATGTCATTAGGCCGAAAGTCTAAAGGCCGAACGAATGGGTAATTTGACTGAATTTTGGAGAGGGAAAGATTAAACTTAGTATTTCTTGGAACATGTAATACTGAGAAGGAATAATGAAAATATAACAAAATCTAGAATTTTAGCTTTTGAGGGGGTTGAGGAAGAGACTTTTTAGTGACTAGCTTGAAAAAAGTGAACAATTTGGAATTTGGTTTGGAATTTTTCGATTGTTCTTTGGAGTGTTCCATTTAAGCTCTTTCATACGTGGTACCAGTTGAGCTTCCATATCTTGAAGACAGTCATCGGGACATTTACAATGGTCTTTCTGCTCGATTGTTATGTTTTCTCCATTAAAATTTAACAACCTAACTATTGGTAACGTAACTAGGGGTAGCTCTGAGTTGGTTGTTTGGTTCCATTGCAGACACTAGCTCAATGTTTTGCCTGGCTGAAATTCAATTCAGTACATAATGAATCATATCGCTGTTCCGCTGGTAGGAAGTAATGAATATCCTCATATAGAATTTGAGAAAATTGGGAATTATTCGCTTTCGATGCATATTCAGGACAAAAAAAGTGAAAGACAACCTAAATAAATCAGTCAGGGACTTTGTCGTTCATTTTTTCCCAGATATTATTGTTAAACAAGCTACACAGCAAAAAATAAATTTTAATATTACGTCCAAGAGGATGCACTTCAATCACGTCGAAAATCTCATATAATGTTTATTGCCACAAAAATAAACAAATGCAGTCAAAGCAGCGTAATGTCAGTTCATGCACTGTATTAATAATAAATTTGTCCGTTTTGGCTAGTAATATTACACCATATTACACACGATTGAAGTGCATCCACTTTGATATGATATCAAAATTATTTTCCTGTACATGTTTTACCCACTTTACTACCAGTCCCAAGAGAGCTAAAAAAAATCGAATCCAAGAATGAAAATTTTCTCTCACGAGCTCAATTTCTCACTCTTTCGTTCATAGCAGACTGGTAGCACACGTAGCTTAAAATATAAGGAACAACTTAGTCAAAGATGTATTATGGAAATATTAATAAATTATGTGTATTCTGCTCGTATATTGCAAAAAAAATACAGGCAGCTTATGCAACGTATCAACTAGATTACCACTAAACATAAAAGTTCATGTTTTGCACAGTCCAACATCTGTGAATTGTGAAGGTAAATTGTAACAATTGAATAAACGCCAATGATTTTTTACACTTAAAGTCCGAGATGTGCAGCGAGCATTTCTCACTTCATTTTTACAACGCACAAACAAATACAGTTTATTACTAGAATTAAAATCTACTTTTTTTTACGTATCTATAACAAGCTTAAACTCTATTCTATGTACTGCTTCAAAAATAACTATGTTACGTCAACTGTGTGCGAAGTTATTAGCAAATGAGCAGTTCGCGACAAAAAATGTGTATGCCAAGCATGCACATGGGATCAGAATAGCAATTTGCAATCGAGGGTGAGACCAAGGTAGACTACTTCACTCGACCATTCAATGGGAGTGCTATCAAGATTGATCTTGACGTGAGCAGGCGGAACAAGTCGAGGTGAATTTGAGTGTGGAAACAGAATGGTTTGTGCTTTAACTGCATTGATAATCACTCTCTGAATGTTTCACCTGTTTTTGACGTTACACAGGCTGGTACTTTTGGTTCAAATTTTCATATACAAAATGCTCATGTCCATTTAGAATCCGGAATAATAAAATCATCTGTATCTCGGTAACGGATTGACGTACAAATAAGGTTAATGCATCAAAACAAAAGTAATTCACTGTACTTTTAGGAAACAATATCAATACAAATCATTTATCTTCGTTTCTAATGAAAATTCGCACTTTCTTCTTTATTCCTCCCATCAAACGCTGCACACCTCCGGAGTCAACTTCCTTGGCACATTTGTTCCACATTTTGGTCATCTGAATCGCGTCCCGAGCCGTTTTTCCACTTTTCTTAAGCTTCCGCTTCATTATTGCCAAAAATCTCTCGATGTCCCAGAGCTGCGGGCAGCTTCGAGTCCATCGTCTTATTCGTCACGAACACTTTGGTCTTTGCCCTTGCCAAATCATCAGTTTTTTTTTTGGCAAATTTGTCCATAAAAGCAAACTTAAACTTCGCAGGAACATCTCCTCGTGCCGTCGCCATGTAGAATTTTTGGCCAGGAAGCTGTCCGAAATCCATTTTGACGTAGGTTTCATCGTCGATGAGCAGGCATTCTTGGTACTTCGTCAAAACCTGCTGGTAAAATTTCCGAGCTCGAGTTTTGGTGACGAAAAATTGCTTCAACGTTCTGTTTGGTTGCTTGCTGGCTCGATAAGAACGATATCCTGCTCGCAAACGAATTCTTCGAACGGTACTGCGAGCAGCAGCGTATTTTAGTGCGATTTCATTATCTGATAGTCCAGGGTTTGCTCTGACGGTTCTCAACACCTTCTGGTTCAGCTTGCGGTCATATGTTCCACTACGACGCTTACCTTGAGGCACTCGATCCACGCTCTTTCGCTCCCTGAAACGTTTGACCACATCATACACGGTTGATCTGGCGATTTTCAACGTTTTTGCGATTTTTGTTGCGGACCACGTTGGATTATCAATGTGGGTGTTCAGATTTTTTTCTCTTCTCTCGGCTTCCATCTGGAATAATTATTGACTCACTGCACGAAACACCGTGATATTTATAGTAAACAAACCGCTGTAAAATAATTCTTGCAGCGGTCACTTTCCGTGCCGCTGCAACACAATAAGTGATACCGGATTCTAACTGGACAGAACTTTACATTCAAAAGCGAAACTATATAGATAAAAATGAATTTCTGTCTGTCTGTCTGACCCTTATAGAAACTACTGAACCGTTCGGCGTGAAAATTTGTATGCAGGGGTTTTTGGGGCCGGGAAAGGTTCTTATGATGGTTCGAGACCAAATGAAACAGAAAAATATAGCATGATTTTTTGAATCGGCGCATAAACTTAAGCTAATATTGAATCCCGAACAAGGGCGGGCACACTCAGCAAAGTTGTTACTCATTACTTTAACTACAAGTTTTGAAAATCTGAATCAAATCGAGAATAAGTAAACTTTTTATGATCGATAAAGTGTGGGAGTGTCATTTGTTCATGTATTATATCAAAATTCCCCATACAAAATTCTAACTAAAAGCGCCAGTTCATCATA